AAGACCAAGAGGAGCATCGGCCCCGCCGCGCTTTCCCCGTTATGTCAGAAAATGCCATTTGCACTTCTGAATCTGGAATTGACAAAAATGTAGGTCAACGTGGATGTTTTAAAGGCATGTTAAACTTCTGAACAGTTAAATCACTGCATTTGAAACAAATAGGAATTTGAGATGACAAGTACTCTGAAGAAATGGTAGCGCTGCAGCTTGCAGACACAGCCTGAATATTAGATATCCATGCAAATTATCATTCACCTTACTGCCAGTACACTTCAGCTGCTTAACTGCTACCCTAAATCAAATCTGGGGTTACTACAGGTTACTACATTCTCCCTGAAACATAAAACCTACTGTATGGCTACTCTGGTTTCATATAACAACTATGTCATTAGTTAATGATTTAAAATTTTACCCTCTGTGAGCAATTCACGTTCCAATGCAGTGCTGGAGTGGTTTCCACATCCACTTTTTTTTTTTAAAAATGCTACTTAAATGTTAAAATTCTGAAGTTAATATTACAAAAATTTGTTGAAGCAACATCTCAGGAACATTAAGTATCTTCAAATGTTTGAATACTCTGAACCCTGATGATGTAATGACCAAAAACAGTATTCTAAATGTTTTTGTATTTTTAAAATGCTTTTTACTGAAGACAATTAAGGGAAAAAAAAAAAACACAAACCACTTATTTTGGCTTTCAACTTGAGATCTTAAAACTTGTTATTTTAAGTAATGATGAATACTGGTCTCCTAACTATTTTTTTTCCTCCAATTTTCCTTGAAAGAAAGGAAAGCAAAAAGTTTGTCTGTTTGTGGAAACTTTCTCACGGAATTACACTGGTTGTTAAAAAAAAAATAGAATGCTTTAGGTGCCACCATGAATCTTTTTCTAATTATTTATTGCAGAATACACTTTTGAAGGGACACTAAAACATTCAGTCACTCAAAGTAACTGAAAATAGATGCTCAGCCGACAGACAAATTTTACAGAAGTCACAAAAGATGCATCTGAAGAGAGAAAACAACACCACAGCCTGAAGAAATGGGCTAATTATCACACTAGTACTTAACTTGGCACATGGAAAACATCCAGGATCTGCAACGCTTCTGGAGATGGAATTAAAGCATGTGGATAAAGAAGGGAAATTCACCTCTTTAGACTGAACACCTATTACCCACCCGTGACCACACTCTGCATTTTTTCTTTACTTGGTGCAAGGACTTGTCAGGACTGCACCGTTTTCTAGAGATCTAACTGTATAGATTTTACATTAGAGGTCACTGTTTAACTAATTAACAAGAAGTTATATTTTCCTTATAAAATAAACAGTAGATTTTATCTGTAGGACTGCTTATATGAAGATTCAGCTTTTCATTTTTTCCTTATAGTTTTTGTTTATATTTTTCTTAGTTGCTCATATTCATCTCTGATATAACAAACCCCTTTCCACATACTTACGTCTCCATTTTTATTTCAAGTTACAATTGTTGTTAATTCTTCCAACTTCCAGAAGTGCCCAATGGCCACAACGTAAAATGGTTCCGTAAAGAATTACTATTTTTTGCTACTTAAAAAACTAACAAGGAATTAAATCCTCCACGAGTTTAGTGCTCAATGTATTTGTGATCCATTATGTATCACTTCCAACTGGGAGAACATGAAGTTTCTATTTCCCAGAACTAAGGTCAGGACATAGATAGGGACCAGAATCCTGCAGGAGCACCAACGCCACAGGCACTTCAGAACAAACATTGCAATAATAATAAAATAAGATTGTAGCAACTTTCCATGCTCAGCTTTCCTTTTGACAGACAACTAAATACAGTGCACCACCATGTGGCAACATATTAGGGAATGGTTTGTGTACCAAGATCTGTTTTTTCCCCCCTTCAAAACGTTTTACTATTTGTTAAAAATAAATGTTAACAAAGCCATCTTAGTAGCTCTTCTTTAAGGAGGTGTCACAGCTTTACTTATCTCCAAAGCTAATTTTTAATGCAGCTGGATTAGTACAAATAAAAATGTCCAAGTATTTCTTAAAGCACAATATTTACCTAAAAACATAACAGCCGCATGACCAGTGAAAAGCTGTTTCTTGCCAGTCCTGCTTCTCTGTACATGAGAAATTGGGCACAAGCATACACTGCACATCAAGCTCCTTTTAAAACCTAAATACATTTTACAAAAAAACCCTGCTGATTAAAAGCTTAAAAAAAAAAAATCTTGGGGGGCAAAAAAATCAAACATTGAAGCTATACACATGCATTATTTAGCAGTTGCTCAGCTACTGTAAAATTGCTTCTCTCCAGCTTAACAAGAAAAAAAAAGTATTTCCATGAGAAATGTTCATGGAAACATGTTTTTGGGAACAGAAAGTCCCAAAACCCTGAAGAAAACCCTGACTCCCAAAGCCACTACATGCCACTTAGTACCCTGGAACATATTTCTGCAGCCAAACGCTAAACTCGGAGGAGAAAGCCGGTTCTCATTATGCTCCCAGTACAGTGCTGTACTGCCAAATTCCACAAGACAGCCTCAGTCAATCCTTGTTTTCGTTCAACAAAGAGTTAAATCACTATGCCTTAACATATTTGTTAGCCATTTTGTACCAACACATTCGGTTCCATCTGAATTAGCAGCGAAGACTCACTTTAAACGCCAGTCTCCCACCGAGACCCTATCTGCGTTCACCATCTCAGCTCTGGGCTCTCTCAGGGCTCACCAAACCCAAAGGCTGTTAAGAAATCTAGCAGAGAATTGGGTGACGCGATAAACAACCACACAAGGAAGGAGGCGGCACAACGGGTTCCCACAAGCTCCGTACCTCGAGCAGAGCAGTGGGAAAACCAGTAGTGGCAGAGGTAGGAGCAAGCAGCACTCTCCTTCCAGAGCCCAGGACGGACGGACCTGCGATTCCCTTTCTGCCGAAGTTGCTCTGGTGTGATTTGAGTCTCACCACAGCGCACAGAGTGAATCCAGAGCATGCACTTTAACCACATTATAAAAAAAATAAACCCAAAAACAACAAAACAACCCGAACCCAGGAAAAAAAAACATTAATCGACCTCCTGTGTTAAGATCACGCTGAAGTTTCCTCTCGTCTCAGAATCCAGCTGCCCTCTTTCCACTCTTCCCCAGCCCACCCTTGCTCACAGGCTGCCTGAAAAACCCCTGCTCTGCAATTAAGACCATGGTGATTTTCTGCCAAAGACAAGCCAACAACAAGAACACAATACACATTATGCAAGTTACTGCATAGTTATGCAAGTTAGATGCATATTTTTGCAGAGCAGCGCACGGTACCCAGGACTCTGAAGACACTTGTTTGATGTGGCTGCTTACTCTTACGTTGAGCTGTCAAATTTTCTTCTACTTGTCTCAACTGGCTTATTTTTACACTAAAATTTCAACCAGCTGCTAGCAACATTAACGAAGCTTTTCCAGTATGTATACAGGCCATTAAGGCCACAGCAAGATGTAAGCACGTTATCACTTAAGTCTACTCCAAACCAGGTCTTAGGAGGCACTTCAGGCAGAGCACCAGCACCTCATGTCCTGTAGATACCCTACGCCTGCCATTGCGAAAACTGAGAGGAACATCAGAAAACTCCAGGCAAACAAGGCCTCACGGTGGAATTATCACTTCACCATCAATAGGAGTTAAAGCAAGTTACACGAGCACTCCCGTACCAAACAGAAAATTTTTCCTTCAAACAACCCCCAGCCTGATGTTTGTGGTTTTTTTTGTTTTGTTTTTGTTTTTGTTTTGTTTTTAAATCTATCTCCATACTTCTGCAGGGAGATAAGAAGGCAGAGGTTTCATGTACAGCTTTTCATTCGAAAGCATCAGGGAGCAACTTCTGCAACGACACAGGACCCCTCAGCATTGACAAGATGAGCCACACAGAAATGGAACCTTTCTGGATACTAAAAGCATTTATTTTAGGGGGAAATATATCAATCTCCCAGCTTTAGAACACCACTTGGAAGTCCATTACCATACCTACTAGAGAACATCACCACAAAGTTTATTTCTAATTTCTGTCCTCTCTCCCCTTTTTCCCAGCAGTGCCTGTAAGAAAGCATAAACTCGACATCCAATAACTTCCAAAAACCCACGAGCAATCACACACAACTCCCCAGAACTTGAACCCCGCCGCTTACCGGTCCCGTTCTCATCGCCAGCTGCAAAGACACAGCCACTGACAGCCCAAAAAACCCCTCTGAGCTTCCAAAAGGAAACGAGGTTAAGGGCAATTGTCAACGTCTAGACTTTTGAGGAGATGCAGCTCCTCTGGCCGGGCTGGATTCATCTTATTTTGGAGTAAAACGCAACCTAAGCGTGATGTCTTACGCAAGCAACAACTATTTATCTGCAGCGTAAATAGAGCCTGCTTTTAAAAGTAGCCCATGTTTCTGAGACACACACAACTATCCTCCCACAAAAAGCCTGAAAGCTACAGGCATTCTTAAATGTGAGGCAGGGAGAAAACCAGGAAAGCAGAGAAATCAGGAACCGCTTTTTTTCCAGAAAAGATGAAGGGAGGGTAGGAGGGGGGGGGCGGAAATCTTTACAGCCGAGATTTCAAAGCTTCTAACACATCCAGCACAGGTCTCAAGAGCACTATCTGCGAAGTGACAACCTTACAAAGTTACCTCGCCGACCCTCAAGAAACAACTTTATTTAAATAACTGCTGCTGAAACTCAGTATTTAAATACTGTAACAAGTTCCCAGCTGTATCCATCAAGCACTTTTGGAGAACTTCATGCAAATACCTTCATCCCACAAAAAAAACCACACCACCAACCAACCCCAAACCCAACAAGACCTCCTCTATTCCCCAGCTGCCTAGAGAGAAGATTATACGGTCGCTGAAGAATGCAAGTTGTTACTACGTGCATTTTAAAGCAGGGATTTCCAGAAAAAAAAAAAAAAAAAAACAGCAACAGAACAACCAAACACCCCCCAAACGTATAGAAAGAGAGAAGGCAGCTCACCTTTATCCTGAGTGCAGGACAGGATCTCCTCCTCTTTGGGGTTAGTCACCTGGGTGATAATGGACGGGTTGTCCATGGAAACAGAGTGAGATTCCACCTGGCTATTTCCCTCCCAGAGGCAGGCGAGTGTGCGGGGGGATTGGTTTGTTTGTTTGTTTAAAAATCAATACGCAGGTTTGTATTTAAAAAAAAAAAAAAAAGA